AATCTTCTTGCCTCAGCCTCCCGAGTAAGTAGGCCTATAGGTACCACCACAACACCTGGCTACTCTTTTAGAATCTTGCTGGTGCTAGGGCTGGTCTTAAACTCCTAAGCTCAAGCAATCCACCTGCCACAACCTTCCAGACTGCTAGGATTATAGGCATGAACCCCCATACCTTGCCAATATAATTATTAAAAAGAGTAATATTAAATTATGACAAAATTATAAATTTGGGGGCATGGTGGCTCATGCCTGTAATCCTAGTACTTTGAGACGCCAAGGCAGGAGGATTGCTTGAGGCCAGAAGGTAAAGACCAGCCTCTGTACCAGTGAAATACTATCTTTGCCAAAAAAAAAAAAAAAAAGATTAGCCAGGCATGTTAGTGTGTGCTTGTAGTCCAGCTACTTGGGAGGGTGAGGGAGAAGGATCACCCTGGAGCCCAGAAACCGGAGGTTGTATGAGCTACAATGATGCCACTGCACTCTAGCCTAGGCGACAGAGTGAGATCCTGCCTCAAGAAAAAGAAAGAAAAATTAAAATTGAAAGGCTGGGCATGGTAGCTCATGCCTATAATCCTAGCATTCTGGGAGGCAGAGGCAGGAGGATCAATTGAGCTCATGAGTTCAAGACCAGTCTGAGCAAGAGTGAGACCCCACTCTCTAAAATAGCCGGACATTGTGGGAAGCACCTCCAGGCTGAGGTTGCCATGAACTGTGACACCATAGCACTCCACTCAGGGCAACAAAGTGAGATTCTGTCTCCAAAAAAACAAACAAATAAATAAATAATCAAAATAATATAAAAGAGGAAAGATGAGTAGCGATATAAAGGGGGGAGGCAAACCTTTTCTGTAAAGGGTCAGAAAGTAAATATGTTAGGTTTTGAGGGCTGCGTAGTCTCTGTATCCAGTATTCAACTCTGCCATTGTAGCATGAAAGCCACGGACAACACACAAAGGAATGGAAGCAGCTGTATGTGAACAAAACTTTATAATAACAGGCAGTGAGCTGGGTTTGGCTCCTGGGCTGCAGTTCACCAGTCCTTGGTATAGATGAATCAATTCTGATCATAAGTTGATAATTATACAACTGACTGATGGGTCATCAGAATTTTATCATACTCTTCTATTTTTATACATGTTAGAAATTTCCTGGCTTGGCACCGTAGCTCAATGAGTAGGGTGCTGACCACATATACTAAGGCTGGAGGGTTTGAGCCCGCTGCAACCAAAAAATAGCCAGGTGTTGTGGCAGGCTCCTGTAGTCCTAGCTATTTGGGAGGCTGAGGCAAGAGAATCACTTAAGCCCAAAAGTCTAAGGTTGCTGTGAGCTGTGTTGCCACGGCACTCTACTGAGGGTGACATAGTAAGACTCTGTCTCAAAAAAAAAGAAAAGAAAAAGAAATTTTCTGTTAAGTTAAAAAAGAATGCCTAGACCACATTTTCAATCATTGATCTATCTACAATTATTTTGTTTTTATTTTAAAGTCAAGGTCTATATTGCCAAGGCTATAATATATTCACACCATCATAGTTCACTGCAACCTTGAACTCCAGGGCTCAAGCAATCCTCCTGCCTCAGCCTCTCTCTACTTAGCGTCCCAACCAGCTGGGACTACATGTGTGCATCACCACATCTGGCTAATTTTTCTTATTTTCTGTAATGACAGGGTCTCACTATGTTGTAGGTTGGTCACAAACTCCTGGCCTCAAACAATCCTGCCTCGTGAGCCACCACACTCAGCTGCCTATCTATCCCCAGTCGAAGGTTCAATGAACACACATTTCCAACATATCTCTTATCTTGATACCTAGAAGCTGTAAACGGTCCTTAGCCATAACCAAATTAGTCATCATTTTAGCTTGAAGGCGTCTAGCTCTTTCACATTGTTCACCTGAAAGACAAAAATCAAAGAATTAATTAAAATATCTACATTTCCCTATCAATATCATTTCAAGATAAAATATCACTCCTCTACTTTATGGAGGAATAAAAGTCTTTATAAAGAAATTAAGAAAATATTACTTTCAAATACTAGCTATTAAAAAATGAGTTACATGGCTCGGCACCTGTAGCTCAGAGGCCAGGGCGCCAGCCACACACACTGGAGCTGGTGGGTTCAAATCCAGTCCAGGCCCTCAAAACAACGACAATTACAATCAAAAAATAGCCAGGCGTTGTGGCAGGTGCCTGTAGTCCCAGCTACTTGGGAGGCTGAGGCAAGAGAATCGCTTAAGTCCAAGAGTGTGAGGTTGCTGTGAGCTGTGATGCCATGGCACTCCA